TCTGGTATCTGAAGACCTGGTTTTAAATCCTGGTTCTGGGACGTACTACTGCTATGACATTGGGCGAGTCACTTTCCTGCTCAAGGCTTCTGTTTCTTCATCAGTAAAATGAGGGGCTTGGGTGAGATATCTCAGAGGGCCCTTCCAGCTCCAAATCTTCTGTTCCTACTTTCAGCTGGTAAGGTGGAGCTAGCTTAATAGGCTGAACCTCCAAGAGCCCCCTGAGAACAGTAGGAAGGATGTGGTTACAACTAGGCTGATCCCTAGCATCACCACTGGGAAGCCAGCCTGGGGTGTATTCTGAACACCAGCCCTCCCAATCCCCTCCTGGCGGTTTCCAGTCTGGAATAATCATTAGGGAGACAAGGATAATGAATCGGTCCTCCTACTAGGATCCTGGTGAGATCTTCGTCCCCCAAAGCAAATGCCTACATGGTAACTTCTGGGTAAATCATAAATTGAAGCCAGGGTCGTACAACTCATTGAAAGTAGAGTAAGTTAGTGATACAGAACCATAACTAAGGTGGGGCATCTGGGGTTTTGCCTCGGGCACCAAAATTTTAGATGGCACTGACAACATAGCCCTTTAACTTGCTAGCACCTACTTAATTAAAATAGTAAGATAAAGTCTGGCCACACCCTTAGATGAGCTGTTCCCCAAACTGTCCACTACCTGCAGCCTCTTTTGTATTTCTCCCCCACCCCACACAAGCATTTCAGAGTTCCCCTTTTTGGGGAGTGGGCACTGGAAGAAATTGCTTGTGATGGCTCTATGGTGAAGCTTTGTTGGAGATGCTCTCTCCATCCCCTTCCTGAAAGTGGATGTTCCGTAGAGGGCATCAGAATATTAATCTTTTCCCCAGTCATGACCCCCATTTTCTTTATCATTTACCTGCAGCAGTCTTTGGTGTTACCACGAGACCCATAGAAGACCCTACCTTCAAAAAGTTTACATCTTATTCAAATAATCACTTTAATTTGAAACTGTTTTCCTGAGGAAGACCGCAGGACAGCCTGCTGTTCCACAGTTCTTTGAGAAAAAATCCTGTGTCCAACAGCTAGTGACTTGAGTGCCAGTAACCTTTGGCCTATTCCTCTTTGTCCTGTGCCCTTTGAACTCAAGCTCAGGGCTGCCCAAACTGTGAGGATCCCTTAGGTGCAAACCACAGAAGTGTCTAGGTACAGAAATCGTATCTGAGAAGTCTGTCTCCTGCAACTCCTGAAAATCCCAAGACTTTTCCTGTGGCATACTAATGAATTAAAATGAAGAAGGATTCAGGGGAATCTGGACAGGCCTAGGAGAACTGTCAGTAGGGTTGAGTGATTTTAGTGGGTGAGCAATATTTTTTAAAAGGGGAAAAAAATTGTCACAAAAATATACAGCCACCTGGGGAATACAATGCTTGTTGGCTTAGATTAATGACAAGATGAATAAATGGATTGCCTGATGAAAAGGCGAGGGAGAACAAAAACCACTTGAAATTGTGGAGGAGGTCTCTTATTAATGAACTGTCAGCCTGAAGAAAGTTAGCGGAGTCTCCTCCTGGAAATGCACTGGGCTGGCGCTTCTAATAAAAATCTGGGTCCTGCAGGAATTAATTACACCCGCCTTACAGCAAAGAATTTCTGGAATTGTGCAATGTGGTGGCACAGACCAGCACGGGTTGCTGTTGCCAATGGGGAAACCGTAGGAAGGTTTAATACTTTCTTTCTTTCTTTTTTTTGGAGGGGGCCATGATATGCAGGATATTATGGTAGCATAATAACCAGTCAGACTTGAGGATGAATGATGGCGGCCAACCTTTCTGACAAATGATGCTTCGCATACTTGTAGTTTGAAGTCACTTGACTTTTCATATGCAAAATCTCTTCTTGGAATCTGATTTCCTCGTTATCATAGGGACCTGCCCTGGGGAGTTAAAAATCGTTTTGGACGTGATTGCATAAGACTCAGATGTGCTTTCCTTTGATTAATCAAACCAGGGAGAAAGCACAGGGCTGCCCTCATTTACTGGGAATGGTGGCCATGTCCATCATATCCCTGTGGAAGCCTCCTTCCTCAGGGTCCCATTTTCTGTTGGCCTGACAAAAATATCTTTTTAATTAAAGCTTGGTGCTGCCCATGCCTGGTGAAGCAGCTCAAAGGCATGCCATGTGGAGAGGGCAGATTCTCAGCAGTTGCAATCCATTATTGCTTAGTAGACATTGCTCACTACTTCAGTGGGATCCTGGGATGCCATATTTGATGAGTAAGGACTTTCTCCTGTGCTTATGTATGCAGCAGCCACGTTATGTAGTTGTTAAACTGCTGGGTTTGGAGTCCAGCACTTAGTAGGTGCTTAATAAATGTTCACTTGCTTATGAGCTCCATGGAGGAGCTATGTCTGTATCCCCAGGGCTTATCACAGTGCCTGATCCATAGCAAGCACTTGGTAAATGCTTATTGATATGTTGACTTGACCTTCCTGGACCTCAGTTTCCTTATCTGTAAAATTCCAGTATTGAAAACATGTCCTCTGAGATCCTTTCGGCTCTAGATCCCTGATTCTATGACCCTAGCTGTGTATATGTCCCTGGACAAATCTCTTAAGCTCTTCATGCTTGAGAGACTCCCTAGGACTTGTCATCAGTCACAGATGGGTTGTGATTTCCAGTATCAACCAATTTCTAACGTATTTGCTCTGTGCCAGCCATCAGCCCCCCTCCCCCTTGAGCATCCTCTCTTTTCTGGCAAAACATCCCTCTCCAGATTGATTTTTCTTTTTTCTTTTTTTGGCTAGGCAATGGGGTTAAGTGACTTGCCCAGGATCACACAGGTAGTACGTGTCAAGTGTCTGAGGTCAGATTTGAACTCAGGTCTTCCTGACTCCAAGGCTGGAGCTTCATCCACTGTGCCACCTAGCTGCCTCTCCAGATTGATTTTTGCTTCTATGTCACATCCACTAGTGATGACCCCCATCATTCTTCACTTCCCAATATTTTGGGCCACCATAAACCCTGTGTCCTTCCTTTTTCAATTAAAACAGCTTAATGAATTTTCATGAACACTTAATCTGCTCTGCTTTCCATTTTAGCTCCAGGCTTTTGACTTGGACTTGGGGTTCTAGAGTCTATGTGACTTTTCATATGATCAATCTCTCCAGCCTCTTCCTCCAACTTTTTTAAAGATCTTAAAATCTCAAGTGTTGGTTTTCCTAAGGACATAGAAACAGCCCTTTCTTGGGGTGCTGGATGTGGAGTCTGGGTTCATACTAGGTTAATATTCCATCTCTGACTCTCACTAACTGTGTGACCCTAGGCATGTCCATTTCCTCTCAGAACTTTAGTCTTCTCATCTGTAAAATGGGGATAACAATACATCTATTTACTACCTCACAAGGGTGCTGTGAGGATCAAGTAAGATAATATATATAAGATGCTCTGTTCACCTTAAAGCTCTGCAAGTGTCAGAAATTACCACTGTTATTTCTACTGGGCCTTTGAATGATTCTGCTGTTTAGAGCAGCACAGCCTTGAATTCATGACATATGAAGATGAGTTGAAGAAATTTGGGGCAGATGAAGAAACGACTGAGGAGGGGAACATAATAGGTATCTCCAAATATTTGAAGGGTTGGCATAGGAAAGAGGAATTCTATTGGGTCTGTTGAATGGCAGAAGTAGGAATAATGGACACAAATTCCAAGGAAACAGATTTGGGATTGATGTCAGGAAAACCATTCTAACAAAGAGACCTGTCTAATCGGTGCTGTCCATAAACAATCATTAAGCTCCTACTACACGCAGTCACTGTGTCAGACGCTGGTAAAGGCAACCATCCTGTATACAAGATGTCCTCAGAGTTTTTGTTGTAGTTGTTGAGTTGTTTCAGTCATGTCTGACTCTCCATGGCCTCATTTGGGGTTTTCTTGGCTAAGATACTGGAGTGGTTTGCTATTTCCTTCTCCAGTTCATTTTACAGATGAGGAAACTGAAGCAAAGAGGGACAAGTGACTTGCCCAGGGTCATTCAGCTAGCAGGTGTCTGAGGACCCTCAGATTTGAACTCAGGTCCTGCGGACTCTAGGGCTGGCTCTCTATCCACCACAACTCAAAGTCTTAGTGCCACATTAATCTTTAATAGCTAATTAAGCTTAAAACTGCGCTAGGTTTGGGGATACCCTGTGTAAGTACATACAGAGTAAATACAAATAAATAAAAAAGTCATTAGATGTAAGGTAATTCAAGAGGGTTGAATCTATATGAAGATATAGAAGGTGGCTCCTGGGCTGCATCTGAAGGAATGAGTGGGGATCTATGGGAAAATGATGAGTGAGTGCATTTCGGGTCTGGGGCATGGACCCAAAAAATGGAGATGGGAGACGATTGTCAAGTGGGAGAGCAGACAGAAAGCCCAAAGTGGAACTGGGTGTTCTGAGAGCTTAATTGGCTTCCTCAATAGCGGCTTTTCAATGGAAAGTGGGTGACAGCTTATGAGAGAATGTTGAAATGGGGATTCTTTTTGAGTATGGGTTGAACTAGATGGTGGCCATGGTACTTCCCCTGCCAAGAAGCTTGGAACTTCTGTGACTATATGTTTCATACTCACAATATGAAATGAAGGGTGGAAAATTTTTCTCTAGAGGAAAATGAAAATGTTACTGCTTTTGGCAAGAAGAATTGTGTCCATTCGGATTCTGATAGGGTAGGTGGTACAATGGTTAGAATACTGGGCTTGGAGTCAGGAATACCTGAGTTCAAATATGGCTTCTGACATTTACTAGCTGTTTGATCCTGGGCAAGTCTCTTAATCTCAGTCTGCCTCAGTTTCCTCAACTGTAAAGTAATGATGATGATGATGATGATGATTGATGATGATAGCACCCACCTCCCTGGGTTGTTGTGGGGTTTGAATGAAATAATAGTTGTAAAGAGCATAGCACAATGCCTGGCATACAGTAGGCACTTAATAAATGTTTGTTTACTTCCTTGCTTCCTCTAACTCTGGCTATCTCTCTCACAGTGACAATCTGTACCAAATGACCTCGCAGCTCGAATGCATGACCTGGAACCAGATGAACCTAGGGGCCACACTGAAGGGGTAAGGTTGGACCTCTCACAGTCCTCTCTCAAGTGATTGTTCAGTGATAGTAACTTGGATTTGTCTGACCCAGTTTTAAGGTAACGGTGGGCAGAATTGTGGCAACAATTGAGGCATCCAGTTGCCTCTCTTTGTCTGTTGGGTATTTTCTCTTTTGTGGTTGGTGATCTTTTGAATAATTTTAAGATTTTAAGAAAATAAATCGCTTTTTGGGGTCTAATGCACACTATTTTCCTGTGCTAATGGCTTGGTAACAAAACTTTAACTTTCACTGTGGTCATTTTGTATTAAATGCCTTGGAATTCTCTAAACTTTTGTTCATTCAGCCGATTTTCCCCTAATGTTCACATTTTGGAGGAAATGTAATTTACAGATGGTATCCATTATACTTATCAAGAAATGCTTCAAGTGTACAAAGTCCAGGCCCCAAATTTGTATTTGAGTGATGATGCTTTGGACAGTCAACAGTCCAATCTGCTTGAGAATGGCCCCACCAACAGGCATCCACCTTGATTGATATTCTACTACATTAGGGAATGTATTACCTGTCTGATGAAAGGCCCTAAGGTCACTTCAACACCCACAGGAAGACAAATAATTTGGAGGTGGTTCTAGCTAGCAGGAGAAAGCTCTTTCAAAGCCCCTTCCCTCCTCACAATAGATGTTAGAATATGGAAGGGTATCCAAAGACAGATCTGGCAGGGCTGGGGGTTTACCGAATTCTTTTGAGATGTCCTATCATCTTTGTATTTCTTAAGAAAACGTTGGCTCTCCATTGGATTTCTAGGTAGGGTGGCTTACCCCCCACCATGCATGCGCCATCCCCACCCCACCTCTTCTTCTTCTCTTCTAGACCCGCTGCTGGCAACTCCAGCTCATTGAAATGGACAGAAGGGCAAAGCAAGTGAGTGGCTGATACTCTGGTTTCCAAAAGTAATGGTGCTGCCATCGGCATATGGCAATAGGAGCATTAACAGAAGTCCGAGCTGTTGGAGGATAATCAGGGACAGTGCCCCGGGGCCGCTGGGGATGGGCTCAGGAACAACAGGGGCCAAAGCCCGATATCTTGCTCATTTTCTCGTGCTTTACTTAGGATTGTCGTGGGAGAGAATGATAGAAGACTTGAGATACCTAGTCGTGGAATGTGATCTGGCACCTTTTTTAGAGTCCGATAGATGACTCACCACTTCTCTTAGCATAACTACACTCATTTTGTGGTGTTACGCTTGTTCCTCTTAGACCTACCAACTAGGGAGCGTCCGCTGTATATGTGTTCTGAGCTCTGTATTTTTCTTCGCTCGCTTTTATTCTCCTTCCTTTAAAGTTTCTTAGGGTGAACCATTGGCCTCCCGTAGACCTATATCTTTTAATTCTCTGATGGTTATGCTTTCCTCAGCCCCTGTCCCTAGGAGTATCCCTGTGGGTTATTTTCTCTCTCTTTCCATTCCCAGAGCCCAGAACAATGTCTCCCCTTTCTTTCACCCAACCTCATTTTCTGGCACGTCCAATAACTTTCCTGATATTAGGGCTGCAATTTTGGATCTTGTATCCACCAATGACTTGTTGCCAAATATTTCTCTATGGCCCAGGGCTGCTTGTGGTCAGTTGGGAACATCCTCACCTCCCTTATCTGTATGTTGGTTGAAGTGGTGTCAAGTTTTCCTTTCCCTTTAATTCAGCATCTCACCCTCTCCCCACTTACCTCTGGTCTGCTGCTGACAATTTCAGAATTCTCCCTGTTGTGTCTCTTCTCCTCTTATCTTAAATTTCTCTGCTTCCCAACACTGGCTATTCTTTCTCTTCTTTGGAATCCCTTAGTTGGCTTCTTTCCCTTTTGGCCTTTTCTTCTCTTAAGAATTATCTCCCTTTCTCTTAAACCAAACCTAGCCCACAGAAAAGGCTGAAGGTCATTGTGAAGTGTTCCATGTTTTTCATGTTTTATACTTCCCAATACCATTCAGGACTTAAACAAATTATACAAGGGATTTTGGAAATTTGCAAAGGTAAAAGATGGGTGAGTGGGCAAGGAACTACCAAGAAATCCAGTAACTTTAAAGGATCACTGCTATGATCTAATATTTGACCAATTGAATATAGTATCTGATGCAGTAATCCAATAGGACTTATTAAACATACATATATATATAGATATATGTGTATGTATCTATAACTAATCCTATTGAGTATGTATGTATGTCTATGTATATACATATATATTTAGGATGAAGTACATATTCTTCAGCAAATCTTAAAGAATTATAAAATTATATTTATTATAATTATGACTATTTTATTTATAATTATAATTAATATAATTATGAATTACATAATAAATGTAATTTCAAATTAAATTATGATAAATATAATTATATAATTAAAACTTATAAATGTTACTATTATTATAATTGCTATTCGTTAGTTTTCCTTCTTCTATGCTATTTAGACGAAAAGGCTTAGGGTTTTAAAAATACATTTGCTTAATTATGCCATAGTTCTTGGTGGATTAAATACATTTGGAAAAAGGACTATTGAAATGCAAGATGATTCCTGCATACGCACTGTATTCAGAAGCCATAGATTCCTATAAGTAGTGTCCAATAGCACCAACAATGACAACAACAACAGTAGCAATAGTAGCTGGAATTTATAGTTTAACACTCCAAGGTTTTCAGAGTGCTTTACAAATATTATCTCACTTTGTCCTCACAACAACTTGGGGGGGTAGGTGCTATTATCATTCCCATCTTATAGATGAGGAAACTGAGGCAAACAGATGTTGTGTGACTTATCCAGGGTCAGACAACTAGTATGTGATGCAGGATTTGAACTCGGGTCTTCCTGACTCCAGATCCAGAGCTTTGGGCACTGTGGCGCTATCTAGCAGTCTAAACTTGCTGCGTAAAGACAGTTATTTGAATAAATAAATATCATTCGCTCCCATTATATAGCACATGGCCTGCATTACCTCATTTGACGTCCACAAACTCCTGTGAGGGAGGCAGCCTACCATCCCTAGATTTACAGATGAGAAAAGTAGGGTTCAAAGAAGTTAAACAACTTCCCTATGCCCTCCACAGAGTAAGCAGCAGAACAGATGAACCCCAATTCTCTGACTCGTGTTACTCCGGTACTTTCCACTGAGCTCTGGATCAGCACCTTTAGGTAACTTCCTTTCATAGAATAATAGAATGTTAGATCTCAGAAAGGTCCTTAGGACGATTAATCAACCATTCAATCAGTTAGCAAGTATGTTTTTAAGTTTGTGCTATGTGTCAGGCATTGTGGAGAGTGCTAAATCTGGAGTCAGAAAGCCCTGAGTTTGAATCCCACATCAGACACATACTAGTTGTGTGACCCTGGGCAAGTCACTTAATTTCTGTCTACCTCAGTTTCTTCATCTATAAAATGGGGATGACAATAGCAACCAGTTCTCTGGGTTGTTGTGAGGACAAAATGAGATAATATTGGTACGACACTTTGCAAACTTTAAAGTGCTATTTAAATTACAGCTTTTATTATTATTGTATTGTTGTTGTTGTTATGCACTATAGGAGTCTATCACGTCTGAAGAGAGGCAACAACGAAAACATTCCTACCCTCAAAAAGCTTATACTAGAGGGGAGACAATACTGTGTGTATAAGTATATACAAATAAACAAACAGAGTGTGGGCTGTTGGAGAAATAGAAGGGTTCTGAGAACAAGGATCATATTATGTCAGAGCTGGAAGGAATCTTACAACCTAGAATACAGAGTGTCAGAGCTGGGAGGGACCTTAGAAGCCAGAACCCAGAATGTCAGAGCTAGAGGACGCTAGAGCATAGGATGTGCAATGGCAGAATTCGGTGGGACATTAGAATATGGAATGTGGAATGTCAGAATAGAAAGCAAACCTTCAAACAAAGAACATAGCATGTCAGAGATGCAAGGGGCCTTTGACCATAGAATGTCCAAGCTGGAAGGGATTTAGAGATCACCAGCCTGACTTCTTTGGGCACGTTATAGATTTGTGATTTTATGCCACTGTGAATCTCTATTACTATTTCTATTTTGAAAATTACATATTTGCATCATAAAAGCCAAGATGCCAAGGCAGAAGATCAAAGGTAATTGTCTGCATAATCTTGACAGAAAAAAAAATATCTGATTTCGTCAGTGAATTGGTCCAATTCAACTTTTTGCTTTGACTGTGGAGATCTTGGCGTAAACCTTTATTGCCTGCGATATCGAACGCAGAAGCCCTTCTCCCTTAGTGCTACAGAAATATCTTTGTGATAAAATTATGTATCAGATAACCACGATGAAGAGAGTTAGAGGTGCTTGTCTTTAAAAAGCAAACAAAACTTTAGCCTGTGACCTGGATTTTAAAATAGAAGTTTGAAATAGCTGGAATATTTGAAGAGAACCCATTTAAACCAGGAGAACATGGGCATGCACATGTAAGAAGTGGTGCTTGAACTGAGCCTTAATGGAGGATGTGTTCTAAAAGGCAGGAATAAGGATGCCTACCTTGCGAGCGCTGAACCTGGTCCATATGAGTACACAGAAGAGGCAGGAGATGGCATGGCAAGCTCGGGGAATAGTCTGGCTAGGACGTGGCATGTGTGAAGGGGAATAACATGAAATAAATCTGGGAACATCAGAGAGAGCCCAAAGGAGGAAGGTCTTCGGTGCCAGATCTAGGAATTTGTATTTTATGCCAGAGACAATGTGGTGAGCAGGGGTGTAACATTGTTATAGGGCACGTGACAAAATGCTTGATAAATGCCTGTTGATCCATTTATTGATTGGCGGTCAAGCCTGTGCTGCCTTTGGAAGCCAATAACAGGCATTTCTTATGGCTGCCAATATAGAATGTGCTATTTCTGACTGAATTCAAGGCAGGCATAAGATATTTTAGGAGGCTCGTTGCCTCCCATTGCCCCACCAAAACATTATTAGATTTTGAAAAAGTGAGACTCTTAAGGAAGGATGAGTTTCAAGGGGATTATTTCTGTGGCA